TAGTAGTAGTAGTAGTATGGTAGCAGCAAGTTTTGGAGGCAATGCCTTGTCAAGGCACTGGCGATCCTGCAAGACATGGAAGACAGACAGGTTCATCCCAACGTGCACCTCGGCAGCTGCTGGTGTTCCAAGGCTGCTCCAAAGCATCCTGTTGAATTTTGCTCTGGTTCACCAGATGGACACCCCTAGCAGACGCTATCATTATGCTCACAGCTCTCCGCTCCTGCAATGCGGTACATGACATGCTGTTTCGCGCGCGCACAGAGCGCGCGCACACACACACACACATGCACCCAAGTCATACTGAAACACACTGGTCAGTAGTGCAAGATGAGTTATAGCTGCAGACACATACTCGTACCTCCCTTACACTTTCGATAGTGAACATTTGACCCAAGGCCCGCCTACTCCCAGACCCGAAGCCCTGCGGAGCAACAGCCAGACTCAAGGATCTGCTACAACTCGACGATCAGCGCGTGCGAGAAATCGGCGTGCTGGGAGTGGGCCTTGGAGGCCGGCTCACGGGCCACTTGGGGGTGCCTGATGCGGCGTACGACAAACCCCAATACCCTCAGCCCTCCCCGAAACCCCCCAATCCTAAAGTTCCTAACCCTAAACCCAAAGCCCCTAGGCCACTCCCCAAACGCCAAAACTTTAAACCAACCATAGGCCCGATTAGGGAAGAGCAGGTCCTCTGGCAAATGCGGCTGCGCCGGCTGCCAGCTGATGCGGGGAGCTCCAGCGCTTAAATTCCCGAAGTTTAGAGAGTTTGGGGGTTAATTATAGGGCTTAGGAGTTAAAGTTTAGGGTGTTTAGGGGCTTCGGGGTTTATGCAAGACGTCCGGTTGAGGGCTTTGGAGTGTAGGGCCGAAATTTGGATGTGCAGGCATTCTGGGCCACTTAGGGCCAAAGGAAAGCCCTTCACCTCCGTAACAAGTTCGGAGCGCTCTCGTCGCAGCGGTGGCGGGCTGGATGGATGAAGCTCTGGTCAAAAATCCAACAATGCTCAGCAGATATCAGTATCTGAGAAGTGGAGCTAGATGTTTTCATTGCAAACAAAGTATAGCCTTTGAGTATATCTTGGCAGGATCAAGAACAAACAACTTTGTTCCGGCATTCGAGATTCATCGTGTGTTTGAGCTCCCCTGCTTCGACGCTTCGATGTAGGAGCATGTGCTGCATCAGTGCTGGCCAGCATGTCGAGAATCATTGCAGCCATGCCCACTTAGGTCATCAGCTACAGCGCCGCAAGCAGTGCCTGCGAGAAATGTGCGCAGTGGCAATGGTCCCTCCATTTGCTGGACGACATGCCACCTGCAAAGGATTTGCGTGCGTATTTGTGTTTGCTTATAAGGATCTCAAAGGTACACAAGCATAATCTATCGAAGCCTAACCTAGCCGCTAGATCTTGTCTTCGGCTTCTGAGCTCTTTAGAGTAGTTTCGGGCGCTACTCCGTGCCACGTTGGAGGGCACGTTCAGGCATCCGCACGACCCTAACACTTTAAGGAGCCTTACAGATCCCTAGGATTCAAGGAGCCCCGAAGAGCCTTACCAGTCCACGCATCCCAGGATGCTATGGCGCGTCGATCCCGACAACTACACCTATGCATCTTCCATTTCGGTCTCCAGCTTATTCCAGCTGGGGCTACTTGTGGGAGATGCGACGATATGATATACCATATATATATACACATACACTGTATAAATACTGTATATACTATATACAATATGTACTATATATACTGTACATACTATATATAGTATATATATATTATATACACTATATATACTATATATACTATATATACTATATATGCTATATATGCTATATATACTCTATATATATATATATACTGTGTATACACTGTATATACTGTATATACTGCATATACTTTATATACTATATATCCCATATATACTATATATACGATGTATATATATATATACATATATACATACATATTATATGTATACACTTTATATATATATATACATACTATATCTATATATATATACTATATAGACTATATAGTATATACTATATATATATATACTATATATGGTATATATAGTAAATATACTATATATGCTATATATAGTATATCTACTATATATACCATATATATATACACCGTATATACTATATTTTCTATATATGCTATATATACTATATCTACTCTATATATATACTGTATATACCGTATATACTATTATATGTAATGATTTCCATCCATGCACCTGTGGCTCCCAGCCATGTGGGGACATGTGCAAGTGTTGATAGTCAGGCATGCCTTGGCAGCTGAAATGCATTCTAGAAGCAGGGGTTGCCAGTACAGAAATTAGCATACACAATCGACGCAACGCTTGTCACAGTGTCACACGTACACTGAGCCCTACCAGCCCACTTGCATCTTCGCACAGCCCACGTCTAATTGCAACCAGCTTGAGGTGCAAGGGCTAAGGAAGGCGCACTGTAGCCCGGCATGGGCAAGCGAGCGCTCTGCGTCGGGGTGAACTATCCCGGCCAGGCTGGTGAGTTGAGCAGTTGTGGCCTTTGAGTTGCTTCTTGAGGTGTTGGCATGTAAGGTTGATAGAAGGAGACATGTAAAGTGGCGTTTGTGTCTGCATTGACCAGCTTGCTCGGGTAGTTTGAAGCCTGGATGTTCCGTTTAGTGAACAGCTGGAGCTGGGAGTCATAAACATTGCTGACAGGCTTGACCTATGGCTGCCCGTTCTGGGTTGTAGTCAGAGTTTCGCTTCAGAGCTTTAGCAGATGGTGTGTACGAAGGGTATGGCAAGATATGGAGGATGGAACGGGGAAACCATCGCTTTTGACTTGGCTAATGTCTTCAGGAGTACCAGCTGTATGGTTGCGCCACTTGTCAGCAGGTAGTGCCTCCTAGCAGGGATTTCGGCGTTCGGGCTTCAATTCTCTCCTGTCTCCTGGCATGCACAAATGGTTGAACTGTTCATGGAAGCATGTGTAAACGGATCCCCCAAATTCATGCATGCCGGCTTCCTATGGAACTGTAGAATTAAATTTGGTCCCCGGACAAGCCTGCCGAGGGTTGTTTCACCAGATGGAACTGTGAAGAGCCATCAATGTCAAGCTGTTACACAAGCGGTTTGGGGTACAGGCATGCAGCATCAGGAAATCGGGTCTTTGTTGCCTCAGGGGCGACTGAAACCCTCAAGTTTGGCGTGCTCAGGTCAATGACTGCCTGGACTGGGAGAGGATGTTGAAAGAGGCGTACGAGTTTGAAGAAACGCGGGTGCTGATTGATCAGTATCCTGCGCTTCGGCAGCAGCACGGGGGTTTCGATCCCTGTTCGCGGCAACCCGTGCAAGTTCGTCCAGCTGTAGTAGCAACAGGCCATCGACACCAGAGGATGGAGCAGAGTTATCGTTTGAATCAGAGAGCCAGCCTGCCTGATTGACCCCTCGCCCCAGAAGTCCGGGATCTAGGATGGCACACCCACAGAGTCGGGAGCGCAGCTGCCCACGCGTGCGAACATCCTGGCACAGCTGGGAGGTTGGCTCGTCGCCGGCGCACCTCGCCGGCACAGCCTGACCACCACCTACGGAATTTTGCTACCTCCGGGACTGAGCTAACAAAGACGTTTTAGGTATATGTAGTATACTAGTAGTATTTCAAGTATTTTTGTATGTACATGTAGTATGTGTGTGTATATAGCTATTTCTGTATATACAAACATATGACAGAGAATATAGCCTAAAGCATATAGAAGATCGAACATAGAGTGAAGGGCAGGACACAAATGCGAAGCCCGAGACTTTTCACGCGGCAAGGCTCAGCCGGGAGACGTCCTCGTCTTCGTCTTCGCGGGGCACGGATGTCAGGCGTGACCCGATGAGAGGGTTTAGGGTATTCTAGAGTTGAGCAGAGCACGAGCCCTGCTGCGCCAGCCTAAACCCCTAAACGAGTCCACTTACGGATGGGTCAAGGGACGAAGGACGAAGCCCTCTCGAAAGCTGAGTCTCGGTTTGACGTCTGCCACATCCTACCTCTCTCTACAGCCATGAGTCTCCGGGTTCAGGGCATACTTGAACTCCATAATATTCCCTTGTTTGGGTTTCGTAGAGAACTTCCTGTTCATGGCTTCCTTATACAACTATAAACAAATAGATAAATAAACATTATATGTATATATATATATATACACATACATATATACACACATGTCTTCAAATAATATACCTGTGTATGCATGTATATACATATGTGTATATGTGTGTATATATATATATGTATATTGAATAACAAATAAACTGAGTGTATATGTGTGTGTATATATATACATTTGCGCTCAACCGATGCTCTGGGCTCATGAGAATTCAGAGCATCGGAGTTTGGAAGCCGATGACCGCTCCAAGGTACTTGACGCAAGTGGGTTCAAGGTTTTAGGGCTTCAGGGTTTAGACGTTTAGGGTTTGGGGTTTAAGATTTCAGATCCGGGGCCCTAAATTAGGGTGTATGTAGGGTTCAGAGGGGTTTGTGGGTGCCTAGAAGGGAGTTCTCGACCACAGGGCCGAGTCCGAAGTTTGAGGATCCTCTTAGAAGCTCAGAGTCTCAAAAGCAGATCCGCCGTACCTCAACAGCAAGGACAAGGATAGAGAAGAGGACGGCTGAGAGCATGGGTCCAGGGTTTAAGTTTGAAAGCACTCTTCGCTTTGGGGCATCTGCCAGGTCCGGACGAACGAAAGAGAACTGGAGGTTGGAGGGGGGGGAAGGGTCAGCGCACCGCGGCGGTCTTGCTCGTTCTCAGGCTTTTGGTACGTGAGAGCCTCCATGTTTCTTGATTTATGTGGATGTACGGCTTAAGGTAGCCCTTGGCATCATGCTCTGTCAGCTTTTCCGCTTCGGTTTCTTTGAACTGGAAGCGGTAAGAGACGTGGTTGTGGGGCGGGACCTGGCCCAAGCGATGAAAAAGCCGTGCAGCTGCAGAGCTCTGCTAATTAGTAAAATTTAGGCAAGTATGAGTAAATAGACAAGTCTGAGCCCCCAAGCCCCACGCCCCAAATCCTAAGCCCGAAACCCAAGACCCCTAAACCTGAACCCCTAAACCCTAAATCCCAAACCCAAGACCCTATAAACCCTAAACTCAAGACCCTTAACAGGAAGCTCTCGTGCCTGGCGACTACCGTGACAGCTCCGCCTTGATCCTGCGGGTGCGCGACGGGTTTCGGGGCTCCAGTGAAACCCGAAGCCGTAGAGGGTTTGGGGTTTTGGGTTTGGGATTTAGGGTTTGGGGTTTAGGGTTTGGGGTTTGGGGTCTACAGTAACGCCGTAACTTAATCCCCGCAAACCGCCCGGTTTTCAGGACCCCAACCACCACCAGCACCAGCAGCAGCACCACCACCTCCACCGCCACCACGACCGTTACGAAGTAAAGGGTTGTGGCATGCGCAATGTAAGGGATAGAACATTAAGCCATGCCATGCTGTACGACAAGTTCCTGTAAGTTCATAAAGGATAAACCTAAATCTGTCAGGCATGTGATGTCTTAGTATAGAGAGAAATCACTCATGCCCAACCCACGAGCCGACAAGCAGGAGATAGTGCGGTTCTTGCGTTGGCTAGGAGTGGAGTAGAGGGGGTTTGGTTGTTGTGGCAGTATTCATCGCAGTCGTAGTTGCACGTACGGTTCACTACCGGCCTTTGTCCTAATTCGTACAGTTGCCGAGCTAGAGCGAATCTGTAAGTTCTGCATCCCGCTAGGACGAAGTGCATGCTCTCATGGCGCGACTGCCATCCGGATGCTACATTACCATGATCTTAGCTGCTTGGCCACAAGATGTGCACTGTGCTTGGTTACAACATTCCCCAGCACACCATCCCGACGCATGAAGGTGTTCAACAGAGCTGCACGTGGCCCCTACATGTGCGACGGGGTGCGCACCACGTTGGACTTGATGAACCAACTGAACCAACTGCCGTGTCAAGTGTTGCGCAAAATCTGCCGTGAATATGCTCCACATATGGGAGACCCCTCTCTCTGACAAGTCTTATTTGCGCCAGCAGGCATTGTGTCAAAGTATATGTCTCATGCAAGGTGCCAGGTGACCTTTTCTTGTTGTTGCAGTGTGCACCTTTTTGCAGCACGGTCGACGTTAGCACGCGGGGTGTGTGCTGCATGTTTACCATTGAACATCGTGAGCTTAGATAATGCGGTTGAAACGGTGGGATGACTGACCCTATGGACACCATGGTTCACACAGACACTCAATCGCAT